GGGCAAATTAGCATGGTCAATCCACCTAACCTGCATGTCCCTGGACAGTACGGGGCAAATTAGCATGGTCAATCCACCTAACCTGTATATCTCTGGACACTACGGGGCAAATTTGTATGGCTAATCAACCTAATCTGTACATTTTTGGACTGTCAGAAGAAACTGGAGCATCCAGAGGAAACCCATGTACACCACAAATAGAAGACACAAACTCCACACAGACAATTGCCTAAGGCTGGAATCAAACCCACATCCCTGGCACTGTGAGGCAGCAATGCTAACCAATGTGCCACTGTGCTGCCTTGTATATATCATGACAAATAGCCACTAATATTAGGCGTCAAGGAGCCTGTGATTTAATTTGAACATTTTAATTAATCTTTCAATTGGATACCAAATTGGCTTAATGGCAGGTGACAGAGAGTGATGGTGGAGGCCTGTTACCAACAGTGTTCCACAGGAATGGGTGCTGAGCCCCTTTTTGTTTGTCATTTATATATATGATGTGGATGAGAATATAGAAGACATGTTTAGTAAGTTTTATGATGAAACCAAAATTGGTGGTATTGTGGACAATGAAAAAGGTTATCTAAGATTTCAAAGAGATTTTGATTAATTCGGTCAATGCGCTGAGAAGCGGTAGATGGAATTTGGATAAATGTCAGGTATTGCATTTTGGTAAAACAAACAAGGGCAAGACTTATACAATTAAGTAGGGCCTTGGGTAGTGTTGAAGAACAGAGAGACCTAGGGGTTCAGGTACATAATTCTTTGAAATTAGCGTCACATGTAGACAGGCCAGTTAAGAAGGTGTTTAGCACACTTGCCTTCATTGCTCAGACCTTTGAGTATTAGAGTTGGGGCGTCGTGTTGAGGTTGTACAGGACATTGTTGAGGCCTCTTCTGGAGTACTGTGTCCATCCTGGTCACCCTGTTCTAGGAATTATGTTATTTAAGCTGAGACAGTTCAGAAAGGATTTACCAGGATGTTGCTGGAAATGGAGAGTTTGAGTTAAAAGGAGAGGCTGGATAGATTGGGACTTCTTTCACTGGAGGTTAGGAGGTTGAAGGGTGACCTTAAAGAGGTTTATAACATCATGAGGAGTATAGATAAGGTGAATGGCAGGTGTCTTCTCCTTAGCATGAGGGATTTCAAGACTAGGGGGCATACTATTAAGTTGAGAGGAGAAGGATTTAAATAAAAGAAATGAGGGGCAACTTTTTTTTTTACACAGAGAGTGGTTTGTGTATGGAATGAACTTCCAGAGGAACTGTTGGATGCAGGTACAGTTACAACATTTAAAAGATATTTGGATAAGTACACGAATAAGAAATGTTTGGAGGGATATGGGATGCAGATGGGACTAGTTTAGGTTGGGATTATGGTCGGCATGGATTGGTTGGACTGAAGAGTCTGTTTCCAAGCTGTATGACTCTATGATTCTATGACAAACTATGCAATGTGTGGTTTCACCCACAGCATCCAGAATTAAACATCTTTCTCTGGCCTGGAATTTCCCCACATTTGCCTGTATGAATGTATTTTATGCTTGCTTAACAGGTTTGTGGTTATTGTTCATGTGTAGGCATTTTTAAAAAATCATATGCTATCCTAAGTAACCCATTCACCTACGGACTGACTCAGTTTGTTAGGCAGTGAATCGTACAGGAATATGGAAACAACCTGAAAAGCTTCATCCTACATCTGTCATCCCTTGGCCCACGGACAATGCTGACTGATGAAGAAATACCGGATTTAAAAGTGTGCTTTGAGGTGATTTGTAATATGCTGAAAGAAAAGTGAAGTAGTTTAAAACAGGGCACGTACAATGAAGTAAAAAATACATTATTATTTTTAAATTAATTTACAATTATCATCTAGCATTGTGAGAACGCAGAAATGTTTCACTTGGCATTTATCAAAAGCATGCGTTTTGCTAAATAAACTGTGTGAAATACAAAATGGGTTGAAATGACATGCATAATGTTTAAGGTTATCTATGGTAAAGAGGAAAACCTTACCATAAAAGTCTTGTCAAGTGCATACTACTCATTTAACTAAATTAATTTAATTTATTTTCTATGTCAGGATTTTGTTTTTGGAAACACAGGCCTTTTGTCCAATAATTCTGTGCCAAGACTTATGTACTACATGACCTCCCTCACTACACATCTCACCTTATCCATAGATCTTCCTAGTCCCTTTCTTCCTCATCCACTTAACCTGAAATAACTTGACAGGGTGGCTGTTGAAAAGATGTTTTCCCCTATGGGATAGACTAGAACCAGGAGACACAATTTAAAAATAAGGGGTTCCCACTAAAGAAACGTATTTTTCAGAGCAGTGTGAGCCTGTGAAATTCTCTTACTCAGAGAACATTGGAAGAGGCAGATAGGTCTAATAGCAACATCTAAGAGGCATTTGGAGACAGATGAATAGGCAGGGAATAGAGGTATACAGATGGGATTCGTTTAGAGTGGCATCGCGGTCGGTGCAGACCGGTGGGCCAAATGGCCTGTTCATGTGCTGTTCTGTTCAATGTTCTTGACTAACAAGGGAGTCAAAGCATGTGGGAGTGTACAGGAAAGTGGAATTGAGGCTGCAATGGATCAGCCATGATCTTATCAACTGGCGGAGCAAACCTGACAAGCTGAATAGTTGAGTCTTCCTCCGCATTTTTACATTTTAATGGTTTTGACCATTTCATGTAGTAGTGAGGTCCTCATTCCAAACACTGAATAAAATAATTTCTTCTGAAATCCTGTATTTCTTACCTGGCAACCGTGACTACACCTTACAGCACCATTTCCAAGTTCCCCACCAAGCTACTCACCATCCCAACTTGGAAATATATTGCCATTCCTTCAGAGCAACTGGGTCAAAGTCCTGGAACTCCCTTCCTCACATTACTGTGAGTGTATCTACACCACATGGACTGCTGTGGTTCAAGAAGGCAGCACACTTTCTCAAGGCAACTTGCGATATGCACCAAAACGCTGGCTCAGCCAGCAATGCCTACATCCCATGGGTGGATAAAACTACAGGCTTCAAAGCACTTTGGAATGTCTCATGATCATAAAGTCCCAAGTTTTGAACACCCTCACAAGTGTAGATATCTTCTCTATGTCTACTCAATTGAACCCCTTCATAATTTTAAATACCAGAATCAGTCTATTTGAAGGAAGAAGCTCCATGTCGAACAGTCAGTCTGATAGCTGTAACCTGTCAGCACAGTGTTAGTAAAAGGACCTGGCTGATCAGTCTGAGAGCACAATGTACCATAATTAAGTGCCAAGGCTGGCCAATTTGAGAGTTATATCCTGTCAGAACAGTGTATGTTGGAGCCTTGGGCTGCTCAGCCTGTCCAATCTTCTCTTAGTACAGCGTATGTAGTAGCTAAGGCTGCTCAGTCTGAGATTCTCTGAGCACAGTGTATATGGGAACCCCGCTCTGCTCAGGCTGAGGCTTTCTCAGCGCCGCGTATGCAGACAGGAGCCCCACTCTGCTCAGCCTGAGTTCTCGGTTTCTCCTCCCTGCCGATTGATGGCGCTCTGAGCAACATTGGGACATTCCTTGCATAGCCCTGAAAAATCTGATTGGATAGGGGGTTTACACTATAAAACAAAGCTTCTTTGAGGGCGAAAAAACAGAACAGTACAGTTGCTGTTGAACAAAAGTTCTGAAATAGAATAGAATATTTCGATGGAGATCGTAAAATGGCTAAAATTTGAGGAGGGTAGGTTTGACAACGAGCCTCCGGCAGTATGCTGCCCCCTTTGCCTGAAGATGAGGAGTAGACTCGCCCGCAGTGCGCCGTGATGTCACGGAGAGGCGTGGCGAAGCTCAGGTAAACATGGATCCCGTGCTATATGTGTTAGCTGCTACCATTATACTGATCCTCATCGTCTTTGCGTCCAGAATAAGACGACATGTGCAGAAAGGTACGAGACTCTACATTCTTGGGGGATATTTGTGTTCGGTTAGAGTTGCGAGCGTAGTGCTGCTGAAAACTGGCGGCACCAGGGCCACCCGCCGGAAGTTCCGCCTCCCACACATCTGATTGGCCAATGAGACCCTTGGCGAAAACGTGGCGCTCACGAAGTAGTCATCCTCGTTGTCAATCATCTCTTTGCACTACGGGCATGAATCCTGTTCTTTATCTATTTGATGAGGATTTTCTTTTCATGTTATTTCTCTCACCTTCCCAAAACGACTTCGAGGTCTGGTCTCAGCGCTCCGGTTCTTTGCTTTGATACAAGATTGTTTGTCTAGTGCTGTGTTGTTTGACCAAGTGTGTGTTTTAGGGAGGAGAAAGATGATTAATTGAGACTGATTCTGTTCTCACCTAAGGGAGAAGGAGCGATCATACATTCTTGTGATTTTTCTATAGCCGTTACTGCTCTATTTTAAATACAAAGGACAATGTGAATGGAAGCTTCGTTCCTAATTAATGACAGAACATTAGGGAGCAGACCTGATGGACTTAATGGGCTAATTTTCCTCCTGTAGGTTATGGTCTTATAAGAACAAGGAACAGAAATAAGCTATTCAGTCCCTCAAGCTCGTCTGCCATTTAACACGATCATGGCTGATCTCAATTGCACTTTCCGGTCCACTTCCCATAAGCCTTTAACCTATTATTAGTAATTGAAAATCTTTCTATCTCTTCATTTAACTTATTCAGTGTCCCCAGACTCTGAATTCTGCAAATTCATGACCCTTCGAGAGCAATAATTTCTCCTCATCTCTGTATTAAATCTGCCACCCTTCAGCCTAAAACAATGACCTGTCATTCTAGATTTAGAGACACTAAGGACTGCAGAGGCTGGAAGCTAGAGCCAATAAATGTGGAGCTGCATCCGGGGAGCAGGGAAGTCAATGTTTTGGGTAGAAACCCTTTGTCAGGACTTGGGAGGGGAGCCCAGAAATAAATAGAGGGATGGGGTGGGTGAGATGGATGTAGGTGGATGCAGGTGGAGGTTTATTGTGGTTGGTCAGTGGGAACGGTGGAGCAGACAGGTGAGTTGGAAGATGGACAGGTTAAAGTGGAGAGATTTTAGAGCTGGTGAAATCAATATTCAGGCTATAAGCTCCCAAGGCAAAATGTCAGGTGTTGTTCTTCCAGTTCACATCTGACAGTGGAAGAGGCCAAGGATGGACATGTCACCGGGGAGAGGGAAGGGGAGTTAAAGTGGATGGCAACTGGAAGATTGGGTTTGTTGGTGCATGTAGAGTGTAGGTGTTCTGTGAACTGGTCCTCGAGTCTGATTTTGGCCTCCCTGATATAAAGGAGACCACATCAGGAGCAACGGATACAGTAGATGAGGTTAGATGAAGTGGAGGTGAATCTCTGCCGGATCTGGAAGGATTGTTTGGGGCCTTGGATGGAGGTGAGAGGGAAGGTGTAGTGGCAGGTGTAACACCTCCTGCGGTTGCAGGGAAAAGTACCGGATTTGGTGGGGAGTGTGGAGCTGATGAAGGAGTTGCGGAGTGAACGGTTCCTGGGGAAAGCAGACAGGGGTGGGGAGGTAAGTATCTTTTTGGTGGGGTACCCGCTGACTCCCACAATTACCTCGACTACACCTCCTCTCACCCACCCTCCTGCAAAAATTCTATTCCATGCTCTCAGTTCCTCTGCCTCCGCCGCATCTGCTCCCAGGATGAGGCGTTCTACTCTTGGACTTCCCAGACATCCTTCTACTTTAGACACCATAGTTTCCCCTGCTCTGTTATTAAGGATGCCCTCAATCAAATCTCCCCCATTTCCCACGCTTGTGCCCTCAAATCCTCCACCTTTAACAACAATAAGCATAGAGTTTCCATAGTCTTCACATACCATCCCGCCAACCTCCGAATACAGCATATCATCCTCTGACATTTTCGCCACCTACAATCAGACACCACCACCACCAGAAAGGTGAAGAAGGGTCCCGACTTGAAACATCAGCTTTCCTGCTCCTCTGATGCTGCCTGGCCTTCTGTATTCCTCCAGCTCCACACTGTGTTATCTCAGACTCCAGCATTGGCAGTTCTTACTATACCTGATATTTTGCCTTGGGAGCTTACAGCCCAATGACCTGAATATTGACTTCACCAGCTTCAAAATCTCTCCACCCCAACGGGTCCATCTTCTGACTCATCTATCTGCTCCACCCTTCCCACTCACCAACCACAGTAACCCCCTACCATCCACCTATCTCCATCCCACCTAACCTCCCCCTCCCCAGTCCTGATGAAGGGTTTTGGCGCAAAACTTTGAATTCCCTGCTCCTTGGATGCTGTCTGACCTGCAATGCTTTTCCAGCTCCACATTCATTGACTCTCATTCTAGAATACCCGACATGAGGAAACATCCTTTTTGCGTCCACTTTGTCAACCCCTTTTTAACTTCTCTTGTACCTCAATTAGGTATCCTCTCATTCTTCTCGACTTTAGCAAGTGTAGGCCTAGTTTTAAGCAGTACTGAGTTACTGCTCATAAGACGAGCGATATCGATTTAAATCATTTTCATAATCTAACATGATTAATATGTCTCTTTTAAATTATAGCTTCAAACTATTTTATTTACACTGGTCAGTTTGTAGATTAAGGAGAATAGTAGCTACCTTAATTCAAATCCTGGGTTCGTTGGTAACAATAGCTGGCTCACCATTTTGCCATAGAGTGTTTATAAAAGGATGTATTATTTTAGTGGTGCTTCCATGACCCTGAAATTTCTCATCTCTGTGGTGAACCTGCCCACAGGAAGGTGAAGAAAGCCCTGCTTACTTTACCTTGACTGAGTTGATGTTTTGAAAAAGCGTTCCAATCCAGCTTTTTTTTTCTGTAACCCTCCAAATGTGTGCTCTTTATATTTTAAGTTTGTTATTTCATGAGATGTCAGTGTTGCTGGTGGGATCAGCATTTGTTTCTGTCTCTATTTGCCCCTGAGAAGGTGGTGGCACCTTGCCTTCTTGAGTATGCATGTCAGATTGCAATTTGAAAGTTCGCGTGGAATCAGCATGCACCATCCTTTTCAAGTAATCTGTTCCAGGTTATGACAACCCTCTGTGTGAAAGAATTCTACCCTCTTCCTAGTTATGTTAACTGCTGCAGTCTCTTGATATGTATGCAGTTTTGTTAAGGAGAGAGTTCCAGGATTTTGACCCAACAACAGTAATGGCATTATAGTTCCAAGTGCAGATGGTGTGTGGCTTGGAGGGGATCTTACAGGTGGTGGTGTTCCCATACATTTGCTGGTCTGGTCCTTCTGGGTAGTAGAGTTTGTCGGTTTGGAAGGAGCTTTCAGAGACGTCTTGGTGAGTTACTGCAGTGCACCTTATAAATTCACCAAAGCTCCTTAGAAAGCACCTTCCAAACCCACACCACTTACATCTAGAAGGATAAGCGCACCACCACCTGCAAGTTCTCCTCCAAGCCACTCCCCATTCTGACTTGGAAGTATATTGCTGATCCTTCACTGTCACCGGGTTAAAATCCTAGAATTCTGTCCCTAGGCATTGTGGGTCAACCTACAACATGTGAACTGCAGTGGTTCAAGAAGACAGCACGCCATCTCCTTCTCAAGAGCAACTCGGGATGGGCAGTAAATGCTGGCCAGCAGAAAAGCCCATGTCCCACGAGTAAATTTAAAAAAAAAACATACACACTGACATTGTGCCTTGGTGATAAATGGGAATGGATTGCATCCACTTCCTTTGATAGTGTGGTAGTGCCACACAACATGAGTCAGAATAGCCTCAACTTGAAAACAGAACTTTGTTTAAAGTCATAGTGATGTACAGCATGGCAACAGACTCTTTGGTCCAATTCGTCCATGCCAACCAGATATCCTTAATTAATCTAGTGCCATTTGCTAGCCTTTGGCCCATATCCCTCTTAAACCTTTCCTGTTCATGTACCTGTCTAGATACCTTTTAAATGTTGTGGTGTTACCAGCCTCCACCATTTCCTCTGGCAGCTCAGTCCACACATGCGTCACCCTCTGTGTGAAAAAGTTACCCCTTAGGTCCCTTTTAAATCTGTACCCTCTTAGCTTAAACCTCTGCCCTTAAACTTTGGACTCCCCAAAGCTGGGGAGGAAACCTTGACTTTTGACCCTATCCATGCCCATCATGATTTCATAAACTCTATAAGGTCACCCCTCAGCCTCTGATGCTCCAGCGAAAATAGCTTCAGCCTATTCAGCTTCTCCCTGTAGGTCAGATTGTCCTGGCAACATCCTTGTAAATCTTTCCTGAACCCTTTCAAGTTTAATGACATCTTTCCTATAGCAGGGAGACCAGAATTGAAAGCAGTATTCCAAAAGTGGCCTAACCACAAGGACTTTGTGTTGGTCACTGTTGCCAATATTGTTACGCCAAATACCTCTGTGGCAGGTGGGTTGGTGAGGACAAGGTTGAATATATTTTCCCTTTTTTTTTGTTGGTTCCTTTACCACCTGTTGCAGACCAAGTCTGGCAGCTTTGCTCTTGAGTTCTCAACAGCTCAGCCGGTAGTGGTACTACTGAGCCTCTCTGTGATGGATATTGAAGTTGCACACCATGCAGTTAGTACTTTCTCCAAAAGGAGTTCTGTCTGATTTTACTTTGTTTAGGTTTTACGTGGTATGATAGGCCATTTCCAGAGTGCAGTTAAGGGTCAACGACAGTGCTGCAGCTTCGTAGTCACATGCAAGTCAGAAAAGTTGAGGATGGCAGATTTCCTTTATAGAATCATGTTAAACATTAGTGAAGCAGATGAAACAAAAACAGAAATTGCTGGAAAAACTCAGCAATCTGGCAGCATCTGTTTGGAAGAAGGGTCACTGAACCTGAAACATTAAATTTGCTTTCTCTTTCACACGTGCTGCCAGACCTGTACTGGACCTAAAGTTGTACTCTTACGCTCAAATCCAAGCTATTTATTTTGAAAGAGACAAGCCATGGTCTGCGAGTATAGA